TTAACAATTTTTTTTATAATTTTTAAATATAGCTTACTTTTATTAAACTAAAAATGTCAATCTGTTAATCTCGTAGTATATTTAGTTTTAATGTTTTCTCTTCTAATATGTGTTCCTAATGTTCACCTTACAATGTTTTACAGTCATTTTCTTTTTCGATATCGCTCATGTTGGTTTCTTTTTTAAATGTCAATTAGCGTTTAAACGCGACACCATTCTTGTCATTTACACTCAGCGTGGCTCTTCCGCCTGTGCCAACTCGTTACCTTGGCAAACGACACAAATGAGCTTTAATATCCTTTTACACCGATAAGTGTAATCGGCCAAGTACTTAACGATAATTTTGAAAACGTGCAGGTATTGCCATTACGAGCCCACTAACACTTGAATATCATCTCATTGACTGATATTCAATTAGTATATGTAAGCGCTATTATACAGTTTCATTAATTTAATTAAAAATTGCTTTTATTATCACACTTTACAAACATATAGTGTATAACAAGTACATACAACCGCTTTTTAAAACGGTATAAATAAATAGCTGGGTGACATTGTATTATTATTTACATCACATTAATAAATTTACTCACCAGACAACCTCCTTTGGATCCAAAATTTACTATCTTCTTCTTCTTCTTCTTCTGGCACTTAATACTCTCTAAGAGTTTTGGCCGCCATCACAATATCCCTTTATTTTTCTCGATCCTGTACTAAAGCCTTCCATTCCTGTACTCCCAATTTTTCAAGGTCTTCTTCCAAAACATCCAGCCACCTTTTCCTGGGCCTCCCTCGAGGTCTTTTTCCCATTGGTTTCCAGTTTAGGACTGCTCTACTTATATCATCCTCACTTCTCCGCATCACGTGACCTAGCCATTGAATCCTTTGCCCTCTTATGAAGCTGATGACTGATGCAATTCCCAATTCGTCTTGCAGCTCTTTGTTAAATTTTTTTCTCCAAGTTGCATTTTCGCTATCATAAGTTTGTCCACATATTGTCCTCCAAATTCTGTTTTCAAAAGTCCTGAGTATTCTTTCAGTTGTACTGGTGGTAGTCCATGCTTCACAGCCATAGGTGAGCGTAGGCCTTATTATTGCCATATATAATCTAGCTTTGGTTTTCTTTGAGAACAATTTTGATTTTAAAAACTTACTTAAGGCAAATGACGCTCTTTCAGCCTTTGTTATCCTCATTCCTATTTCCTTTGACCAATCATTTTTAGTACTCAGTACAGTTCCTAAGTATCGAAATTCATCGACTTTTTCGAAAGTAAGGGACCCGTATCAGGGTTATCTCCATTGTCCAGCAACTCCATTATTTTGGTTTTATCGGCATTGATTTTCAACCCTATCTTGCTGGCTGCTTGCTCAAGGGCTTGGGCTGCTTTTTCCGTATCCTCTATGGAGTTTCCTAATATGTTTAAATCATCTGCAAAACCCAGTACTTGTATATGTTTTTGGCCGATCGCTACTCCAGTTGCTTCCATTTGCATTTCCCTTATGGCTTTTTCCAATGCTATATTAAATAAAGTAGGGGATAATGAATCTCCCTGCTTTAAGCCAGTTCTTACTTCAAACGCTTCTGATACCGTATGTTCGACCCTTATTTGATACTGTGTGTCCTCCATGCACATTTTTGTCAAGGCCACTAGTTTTTGTGGGATCCCGAACTCCTCCATTATGTTATTATAGAGGATTTGTCGATGTATGCTATCATAGGCTTTTTTAAAATCAACAAATAGTTGCCAGATGTTTTGGCGAAATTCATACTTTTTTTCTATTATTTGGCCTATGATAGCGAGCTGTTCTATTGTTGATCTCCCTTTTCGGAATCCACACTGGTATCCACCTAAATTTTTTTCTACGTATGGTGTTAGCCGTTTTAATAGTATTTTCGCAAACACTTTATAAGGTGAGTTAAGCAGTGAAATGCCTCTATAATTCTCACAAATTGACTTATCGCCCTTTTTATGTATCGGTATGATTATGGATTCATTCCAGCTTTTTGGCATGCGTTCATCTTTCCAAATCTTCTAACATATCCTAAAGATGAAGTGTTGCATCTCCTTTCCACCATATTTAATGAGCTCAGCCGGTATTTCATTCGATCCAGGTGACTTCCAATTTTTAAGACTTTTTATTGCTTCGTTGACTTCTTCCTGGGTCACTTCACTTACTAAAGGCTCGACCCCATACAGGGTTTCCCTCCTCGTTGAATTAACTGGAATATCCGCATTCAACAGTTCTATGAAATATTCTTTCCATCTTTCGGCTTTTTCTTTAGGGTCCATAAGTATTTCATTATTCCGATTTTTAATGGTTTTCAGACTTGGGTTGAAAGATTTGTATTGTTTTATGGTCTTGAAGAAATTTTTAACGTTTCCCTGCGAGAAATTTCCTTCTGTCTCTTGTAATATTGCACTTAAATACTTTCTTTTCTCTCTTTGTATGATTCGTTTACAAATCTTTCTCTCTAACATATATATATTTCTTTTGTGTCTGTACTATCTAGATTGATATAATTTTCACGGGCAATCCGCCTTTTTCTAATGCTTGTCGACAATTTTCATTATACCATTTTTTCTTCTTGTTTCTTACTTTTCCAATATTTTCTACTGCAATTTCTTTAATGACTTGACTAACTTTGGCCCAATCTTCATCTATGTCATTAATTTCAATACTCCTTATATACTCACCAACATTTTTTGAGTATTTTTGCTGTATTTCCTCATTCTTTAACATCTCTAGATTAATGATTGTACTATTCATTTTTTCTAGCCGTTTGCGACTTTGTAGCTTCAACTTAAACTTTGCCACTACTAGAAAGTGATCTGTTTCGCAGTCAGCTCCTCTGAAGCTTCGTATGTCTTTTATGCATGAACGAAATCTCTTTTGAATAAGTACATGATCTATCTGATTGGCTGTTGTCCCGTCCGGTGATTTCCATGTGACTTTATGTATTTTTTTGTGTGGGAACGTTGTACTGCTTATTGTCATATTTTTTGCCGCTGCAAAGGATATAAGCCTAAGCCCATTTCCATTAGTTGACTCGTGTATACTTTCACTTCCTATCATTGGAGCAAACTGTGCTTCCCTTCCACATTTGGCATTTAGGTCACCCAGTACTAATTTGATTACGTTCCCTGGCAGTTTATCATAAGTGTGAGACAGTTCTTCGTAAAACGCATCCTTAATGTCCTCTTCCCCTGTTTCTGTTGGTGCATGTGTGCATACTAATACTATATTTAGAGGTTTCGTATCCACTCTTAATACTGCTATTCTTTCTGATACAGGATTGAACTCTCTTATGTATGGTTCCAAATTCTCGTGCACAGCAAAGCCACTCCCAAAAATATGTCTTTCTTCCATTCCAGAGAAATAAATTATATATTTCCCAACTTTTAGCTGTCCATTCCCTGACCATCTTATCTCTTGCAAGGCAGCTATATGTATTCCATATGCTTCTAGTACATCTGTAAGATTCTGGCAGGCTCCAGTTCTAAAAAGGCTTAACATGTTCCAAGTCGCGATCTTGAGTCCAGTTTTCCGATTTCCATGTCCTAACTTATATCCATTACTCCATGTCCGAGGCTGGTTATTTGATGGTATCATAACAGCTGAGTTTTTACAAGGAGGGGTTGTTAGCCCCGCGCTCAACCCCCAATCTGGAGGACCAGACTACCCCAACCAATTAAGGTAAGGGTAGGGCTTCTGCAATGCACTACTGGGTGCATTGGGCGATGGGAGCGCCACTTTCGCTACGCCACAGCTCGGGGCCCCGGGTTTGCTAAGCCCGTAACATTGAATGTCCCCCTGAGGGGCAAAATTTACTATCTAGGAAATATAAATTGATTATTGCGTTCACAATGTTTGAATTAGCCATGCAATTTTGCTATCAACAATTTAGATTATTTTGTTTTGTTCATTGAACAGTATAGTTTTCATAACTTTATTATGTTACAATTGTTATAAATAAACTGAAAATATTATGCTGCACTATAAAATTGTTGAAATGACTACACTTAGTTTACACTGTACATATTATGGGACAAGATATTAAATTCGTTTTGTCCAAGGAATGAGTATCGATTATGTCTTAGCTATTTCTTTATTGGATACATTCTTTTTATTTAAATCACATTTCCTTCATCTTAATCGACTCTTAAGTTCCACCACAACGAATCAAATAAAATGAATTAATAACAACACTAGAAAAAGTTTTAAGAAGGTTAACTACTCTTTTTGAATTTTAAACTATGGCAAATACTTACTACCTACTTTGTATTGTTGTACTACAATATGCGGACATGTAACTAATATGAATCGTGGTTTTCTTTATTTAATCAAAAGTATTTTATGTCATCGTCTTGGGACTTTTTAAGAAAAAATCCCATTTGCGTTATACTGTTGAATGCAAAATACCTTTTATTAATGCGCCGTATTGTATTATATTGTATAATCTCACATGCATTATTGTGAATGTCTTGAGAGCAGTTTACTATAAATGTATAAGTCGTTACGGGCCAGTGATAATAATAGTTATTGTTAACGTATCAAAAAATATTATATTTTCAATATGATATTTATAATATAATATATACTTGAACGCCAACTTAGTTTTCATATTTGGATCGTTAAATGTGAACTCAACACAACAATTTTCACTTGTACTAGACATTTTTCCAAAACATCGTGAAAAATTGGAAGTATATTGATGAAAATAGCAATATTGGTTTCACACAGAAACGTCTCATGTATATTTTATTAGGATATATTTTTAAATCATCCTAGAATTCTTTAAACTAAGAAAAATTACTAAAAAAAACGTTAATAGTGAACAAACTGGGCTGGATTGAAATTTAGCTTTTTTTACATCCCAATCGTGTAGGCTGTACAAATAGTGTTAGTATATTTTATACAAACTATTCAACTTGTTTTAATTATATTTTTCTTTTTAGTTACCTACAAAAAACTTATAAATATTTTTTTTTTTTTTTCAGTGGACTCAACATGTCAACAACATTTATCAGTTTGGTTATTTAATATCGTTCATAGCGCTGTTGCTGTCAATCGGCATCCTTACTTATTTTAAGTGAGTAACTAATTTTTTTTTATAATTTTTTAACCCTATTTTTTTAGTCGTTTTTCTACTTTATTTTTAACAAGTCATTTTTTGTTTGTTTATTAAAATTATGCAATTAACATCATGCTATAAAAATCAAACGGCATGGTATTATACAACACTGTTAACCACTTGTCAGTACTCAGTATAGACAATTCATGTTTAAATTTTAGAACCTTTAAACGAGACAATCTTGTAAGTAATGCAGTAATAAAGAATTTTATTTTGATCGTACTGAGCAATTTTAAAAAATGGACTTGTCTGGTTCTCTTAAATTAATGTAGACTAGAAAAACAACTATAATAATGAAAGGGGGGCAACATTTTTGCATAACAACATTTCTTTGCTACTTAGGTAATAAATAGCTGAACTTTAAATATATATAAGGGTATACCTTTTCCACCTTATTACTAATGACCCTTAACATTGGCATTATTACTAGTACTTACTATACATAGCATTGCGAGAAGAAACACTGGTCAATGAAATTCTGAAGTGCCTGTAGAACGGTGCAAACAGAAACATCATATTATTAGTGGATAAAAGTGTACATAAATCTCAACAGGTCGTTTGTGGCGCATCGTTTCCGCAACGTTCACCGTGATTTAGTGTGGGCTAGATAAAACAGTGGAAAAAGTCAAACTTGTATATAAATTTATATTATTCTGTTTATTTATCATTTCGCCGAAGAACATATTATTTATTCGCGCCAACGGGCAACAGACTTATATTTTATTATAGTTGTCTTCCTTAAAGTGGTACTACCACGTAAATAGAAATCATTACTTTCGGTTTTTTCACTTGTCCAGATTTTTCACGATTAAATATAAATCAACAACTATCTCGACGCAAGTACACTTTTAGCACTACTTTTATCTCGAGTTAGTTTGTTCTGCATCAGTGCTTAGAGTGAAATACTCCAAAGGAAAACGGTTGCAATTAATTTCATGTCGCCTAGTCGTTCGACCAATGTATAACCGCAATAGTCAAGTCAGTTGACTCCCCAAAAAAAAAAACGCCTTTGTTTTATTCGAATAGTCATTGTGTATTTCATAGTGTGTGTATTCTGCTCTGCTAAACTCAAACAAATTATTTTTTGTAACCGATTAAACCAAGTAAAATGGTTTTTTACAAAAAGTAAATTTTTCGAGTTATGACACTTTTGCTTAGGAAGGAAGTCGTAATATTAGTTTGAAATATTTTTTGTGAAATAAAACTCTGAAATACTTTGAGACAGAAATACTTGTATCAAAATATAAGCCTTATATGATGATAATTGACTTTTAATTTGACATGCAACACGACATGCGGTTCAATTGGTTTATAGAAATATATATTTTTTTCTTTTATTAAATCTGGGAAGTTCTACTATATAGTGTACGTAGCCTATGAGAGTAATTACGAGTGAATAAAAATATAAGGTCTATTTAATTGTTAAACACAATAAAATGTTTTCGACTATTTCAATTCAACATAAAAATAAATACCTGTTAAATTGACATAGTAGTTTTTTTAAACTAAATAATGAAAAACAAATCACGTTTCTGCGACTACTCACTTAGGAGAAAAGATCAATGTGTTTTTCTATAACCTCATAGTTAGTGTATATTATATTGAAACATTATTTCTTATAATGAGTTTAGGTACTATAAATTAAATTATGATTTTCAACATGACCGAGTCTGGTGTGTTTAGCGCGGAAGAGAGGATATTTTTGAAATTCAATAGAGTATGATTTAGTTAGTTACATCGTCATGTCATCCAAGCCCAAAAACATGTCTACCCGTTCTATGTTTTTCAGTGTAATGGAGCACAATTTTAGCACCTAACTCTGACTGGCTAGTTTGACTGATGTGGTCAACGCCAAAACAATATTAAAATAATGTCCGATGACAGATTAACGCGATAATCGATAGGATCCTAATGGGGTGAACGTGGGTAGTATATTATATTGGTCAACAGCCACGATGTTGGACAAACACAGACGACAAGACCGTATCACAGGAACAATCGATACACACAGGACGTGTGTAAACTTCACGTAGACAATTTTCCGTAGACCATGTGCTCCCGGTGCAAGCACACTCTATACATAATATGGTACTAGGTTCAATGTAATGTATTTAATAACACCGACTCGCATTGGGAACTAGTATAAACGTACAACAAGCCCAACAACAATATAATATATAGTAATATTTAGAAATAACAATAATATAGTTACCGGAGCACAGTACGTGATGTTTTCGGTATTGTTATAATTTAATATATAAAGCGTTTGGGTGTGTACACCAAAGTCCTTTATATAAGTTTCCAAATGGTATCCATGTATAATATGTATATTGTATATATATTTGTACATGCAGTCTGGCCTAGCTTACAAAAACATTCTAAAGGCAAGGCGCAAAGTGCTGTTATTCGATAAAGTTGAAACATAAAAAAAAAAAAAAAATACAAAACCATATGCTATAAAAACCGGAAAATATTATGTCGTGACAGATTTAATTCTATTTACCAGAAAAGTCTAGCACGTGCCCGTGAAATCAAACCGAATAAATATTATATATATTGACAGCCCCAAAAGTAATTTATCAATGTCCGCATTTCTACTACGCCATTTTAATATTTTGTTTATTGTTTTTCTGTTGGAAATGCCTTTTTTTTTAACGTCTGTGGTTATTATTATTTTGCAAGTATTTTAATCTTAACCCGTGCGTCGAATCGTGTAATAAATGGAATAGTTTACAAAAATATCATAGTGATGTCATAAAATCCAGTTAATGCTATCGAGAGGGAGGGTGCAGGTACTCGGGGAGGATACCATAACTTTTTAGTTTCTTTACTAGGGCCCCTTATAGGTTGCTATTTGTAAAATGTAGGCAGTATTTGAGAAAACATTATTTGGAGAGTGAATTTAAGAAAAAAATTGTATTTGTTATTTAAATTCGTTCAATTTATTTGAAATTATTATTATTTGAATATTTGTTCAAATAAAAATAAAGCTATGTTCATTATTTGCGATATTTTTAAATACATTTAATACTTAATAATTATCTATTTTAGTTTTTAATCAAAGCTTCTAAGATCTAAGCTTCTCCTAAACAGCTAGTTAGGAAATCGCCGAGAAGCATTATGGATTTTACAGGTCAAACTGTAAAACATGTACAATCCGTTAAGACGTTCAGGAAGCCGTTAGTGTTTTTTTTTTTTTTTTAACTATTAACCAGAAGTTACCCTCAATGAAATTCTTCTTATATTTGTTTTCCTAGTAAATCTGGATTACCGTGCATCTTTTTATTCGCCAGCTCAACTATTTTGACATGTTATTTTTTTTCCAGTAGAATCCCTGAAATAAATTCCAGACGTCCGCTATACGTCTATAATCCGCATATACTTTAGTTTTATTAAAAAATAAACCATATAATATATCAACGGAGTCGCCGTCTTGATTTCGCCTGAAAAAATTGAACTAGTAGAGAGCATATTATTACTATTCTGTTATCTCAAAATAAATGCAAGGTTCTTCGTACACAACAATATCCTTTGGGTGTTCCATCTAGTATGCAAGTCGGAATTAAAGATGCAATGAGAGGACAAGCCGGTTAGTTACGGTCCTTGATACCATTATATGAGACGGATAAAAGGATTTTTGAATTTTTTCCCCGAAGTTTGTTTTCTTTTTAGTGGCCAAAATAACTTTGTGTCAGGAAGTCTACAAAAAGATAAACAAATAAAATTAGTGAAATCATTAGAGAAGTCAACGGGAACATAGGTCAGCACCGAAGATTTAATTTTATATAACTGGTCATGGCGGTGGAGACTCGGAAGAATGTATTATCGATAATATAAGATAAAGTGTTTTTTTTAATGTAATTACGAGGTATCATTTAATAACTTTTTGTACAAAAAGTTGCAAAGGCTTTGCGTTGGAACGTTTATTACTCTCTTTCTACATGCATTAAATTGTATACCAATTTTTAATAGTTACCATTAAAAATAAAATAAAATATGTATATGTATAATATTTTTACCTCATTTTTAGTATTTCATTAATACATTCAGATATGGTTTAAAGATGATTAAGAGATCAAGCCCAACGTGGCAATACACTTAAAAATAATATCAAGTTTAAATAAAAAAATAGCTAAATATGATCACTCAACTTTGTTGATTGGTAATCTTGTATTTGATTTATATAACTTATTTCACAAGTTTCTTGCTCTGATTATTTCTATACTGTATTTGAAGTATTACATTTATAGAAAATTAAATAATATTGTGCACCTATAGCAAAGTATTTCTAAGCCTGGACGTGAATCCGAAATGTTACTGGATTATAATGAGGGTTCGTCGTACGTGACATCTCTGGAATCGCTATGGATCCAGTCAGCACTTAAAAGGGGGCTAGTCAAAAGTTTTCCTCCAAATAAAAAATGAAAACTTACAGACTTTTTGACATAAGTCCATCATTTCTTATGAAGTGAAATATTTTACACTTACCTAACATTGATTAGTACTTGAGTAAAAGTATACATTTTTTGGGTGATTAGGAAGACATATGCTCACCACAAGAGACAAAGAGTTACATTACATATTTTGTTAAAATATTTTCAATTTGTTCACATCGATAAAAGTCTTTTTGTTATATTTTTGGATTTTTAGTGTTATGGTAAAAATTTTTAAACCCGTAACAAGAATTGTATGAATACCGTACAGTATTTTTTTGATTTTATAATTTCACATTTCGATTAATCAAACATTAAAATCTGTTCCACTTAAAACGCGATTTGTATAAAATTAATTATTTCCGTGTTTTTGATTCAAATCGTGTTCACCGTTTCAATATTATGTCATTTTTTATGTTTTAAATTGAGAAAAAAATATGTAAATATTTGTTGATTTTTTATTGATTAAAAGGGTAAGGTCGAATCAGAATGGAATGCAAATAGTTAGGTTTTAAAAACATCACT